CCTGAAGTTTTTCATCTTCAACAGTTGCTTTCATGTTGAATGCGTAAGACTCAAGTGAATTCTTGGAAGACACCTTGTCCCACTGTTTCTCATCTTCAGCTTTGTACTTCTCAGCTTCCTGGACCATGCGCTCAATATCTTCCTTGCTCAAGCGGCCCTTGTCATTAGTGATGGTAATCTTGTTCTCTTTTCCTGTGCTCTTATCCACGGCAGAAACATTGAAGATACCATTAGCATCAATATCGAAAGTGACCTCAATCTGAGGGGCACCATGAGGAGCAGGAGGTATGCCTGTGAGTTCAAACTTTCCAAGTAGGTTGTTGTCCTTGGTCATGGCATGCTCACCCTCATACACCTGAATAAGCACACCAGGCTGGTTGTCAGAGTAGGTAGTGAAGGTCTGTGTCTGTTTGGTAGGAATGGTAGTATTACGCTTGATGAGAACAGTCATGACTCCTCCAGCAGTTTCAATGCCAAGAGAAAGTGGAGTGACATCCAACCGCAGCAAATCTTGAACATTTTCAGATTTGTCTCCAGAAAGGATGGCTGCCTGGACAGCTGCACCTGGACAGCCTCATCAGGGTTGATGCTCTTATTCAGTTCTTTTCCATTGAAGAAATCTTGGAGAAGTTTCTGAATCTTGGGGATACAGGTAGAACCACCCACCAGGACAATATCATGGATCTGAGACTTGTCTAACTTGGCATCCTGAAGGGCTTTCTCCACAGGGTCCAGGGTGCCACAAAACAGGTCAGCATTTAATTCTTCAAACTGGGCATGAGTGATAGAGGTATAGAAGTTGATTCCTTCATACAGAGAATCAATCTCAATACTGGCCTGGGTGCTGGAAGGAAGTGTACGCTTAGCACGTTCACAAGCAGTGCGGAGGCAACAAACTGCCCTCTTGTTTTCACTAATATCTTTCTTATGTTTGCGCTTGAACTCTGCAATAAAATGGTGGAACATTCGGTTGTCAAAGTCTTCTCCACCTAAGTGGGTGTCTCCAGCTGTGGACTTAACCTCAAAGATCCCATCTTCAATAGTAAGGATTGACACATCAAAAGTGCCACCTCCTAAGTCAAAGATCAGCACATTCCTTTCAGCTCCAACTTTCTTGTCTAGGCCATAAGCAATAGCAGCAGCAGTTGGCTCATTGATGATTCGAAGTACATTGAGACCAGCAATAGTTCCAGCATCTTTGGTAGCCTGACACTGAGAATCATTGAAGTACGCAGGTACTGTGACAACTGCATTGGTAACCGTCTTCCCAAGATAAGCCTCTGCGATTTCCTTCATTTTCGTCAAAACCATAGAAGACACCTCCTCTGGATAAAAGCTTTTTGTCCCTCCCTTGTATTCTACTTGGACCTTGGGCCTGCCAGCATCATTCACCACCATGAAAGGCCAGTGCTTCATATCAGACTGGACAACAGCATCATCAAATCTCCGTCCAATCAGGCGTTTGGCATCAAAAACTGTGTTGGTGGGGTTCATCGCAACTTGGTTCTTCACAGCATCACCAATCAATCATTCGGTGTCTGTGAAGGTGACATAACTTGGCGTGGTCTGGTTTCCCTGATCATTGGCAATTATTTCCACTTTCCTGTGCTGGAAGACACCCACGCAGGAGTAGGTGGTGCCAAGATCAATGCTAACTGCAAGTCCCTTAGACATGGTTGCTTATGTGTGGGCCTGGTTTGGGTTGCGAAGAAGACAGCAATCCAAAGATCTAGCCCCGTGTTCAATGAGCAAAAACCTCTTTAGATTTGATAACTCCACCAACCTGCTTCACGAAAAATTCTTTATTCCTCGTGCTATAGTCAATGCTTCTTAGACATACAATGTTACATTTTCCTTTGACCATGTATCTTTCTCTGATCAAATAATTCCAATTTCTTGGTTCCTCAAGACCCTATAACTGAGATTTTGCTCATTTTTTACATTTTTGACTCCCGTTAGATTTGTTTTTGCAGATTTAAAGCACACCTTCTTCATAAATGAAACTCAGAATATGAGATAGTGATCCATTCAACCCTGTCTGTATTTGGAGTTAACATTAGAATCAGATTCACCTGGGAAGGAATCCCAGCTCTGCCATTTGTTCATTGTATGATCTTGAAATAAACAATATTCTTAGATAGGACTATAAGATACTCATCCAGTGAATATTGAATATTTGAAGGTATTGGTGTTTGGGTTGCAACAATTATCAAGAAAAATAAGGTCTCCACTCTCACCGAACATGTATGTCAAGAAGAGTATAGATACGTTATAGACTGTTTCCATACACTGTGGTAAGTAGTGGGGTATGAAATACAGGATGTTACAGAGGGAAAAAGAAAAGGTATGCAACCTAGGTTGGGGTAGGTGAGTGGGAGGTATCCCCTTCCTAGAGGAAATTGTATCTACGGGGAGACCTAAGCAATGAGTCAGACAAAGAAGAGAGTGAATAGGGATTAAACAATGTTTCTGGAGAGAGTAGGTAGTAAACTTACCGTGATATAAGAGAGTACGATGATTTAAAGGAACTGAATATTAATTATTAGTCAGGAATATTCAGATGGCAAGTGACAAATCCATTTCCAAGTAGCTCAAATGAAAAAGTAGGATTTATCTGCTCATTAATCAAGCTATGGGTAGACTTGGCTGGCATCAAGGATGGCAAGATATAGGGACTGAAAAAATGCCATGACTCTCATGTCTGCCTGTGCTTTTATTTTCTCTTTGTGGGTTACGTTTGTTCTCTACTTCTGTAGACTGTTTTCTCCACACAACTGAGAAAATGGACACCAGCTATCCAAAATTAACAACACAGTAGCTTTGGCATTGGTCAAGGTTCGTTACTAAGATATTAAGAGAGGAATGTGCCTCACAAAAAGGAGCCAGATTTATTATGATTCAGTATTAGAATGTAAATCGGAAGGTTGAAGGGGTAAGATGGGGCCAGATCATGATTGTGTAGGTTATATTAAAAAGTTTGGAATTTTCCCTATGTAGAATAGCTATTTATTAAATAATTTTATAATGGAGGACTGTTATTGTTATCTTTAGAAAGATCACACTGGCACAGATTTTAGGGATTGGTAGGAAAGAGCAAGTGAGAGAAGTTAAGGGACTGTTGTAATAGTCCAGGAGATGAAGTTTTAGCGGGAGGACCTACAAGATACCAGAGGCCTTGCCATGGTCAAGTTAAGGTTGTTTACTCCTCTAGCAGGGCAGTAACATGAATATAGTTGGGAACTTCCTGGAGGAACGTTACACTGTGCCTGCTTCAAGTATCTGTCAATGGGCTGCAGGTTAGAAGGGCATTTAATTGTATCTACACTTCCTTCTGGAAGCTAGGTTATTGGTAGAAATGCTTTGTTCTTGTAAATTGCTAAGATACTTGTGAACTGAGGGAGACTCAGGTCTTGCAGGATTGTGATCTCTATATAAGTTTAATGATTTGTTTTTCCTTTCCTTAGCTTTAGGGCAGCCAGGAGTGTGTGAGGAATGTCACATGTATCCCGGGGTGAGGGGGGTTGTTGGTGGTTGTGGGTGTCAGTTTCTGTTTTGTCCTCAGCTTGCCTTCTGTTCCCTCAGCACAGGTAAAAAGTTAACAGTGGCCTGAACCAGGATAGTAGGGATAGGAAAAAAAATGGGCAAGTTTAAAGATATTTTGGTAGCATCCGTAGAGAATGAAGACAGAATCAAGAGCAAACTTTGTTTTGGGAAGCTTAGTGAACTGAGATACTGAACCTAAAAGCAAATTCAGCTTTGAAAATTAAAAATTTGAGGTGGAACGGGTCATAGCAAGCTAGGTTTAAGCAATGGATTGGGAGACACTTGTCTTAAGACATGGATGGGGAGAGGGCTGTAAGGAAAAAAGCTCCGGGACAAGAGCTGAAGAATACTAATATTTACGGGCATGTATACGAAGAAAATTCTGGGAAAAAAAAAAAAAAAAAAAAAAAAGATTGAGAAGAAGTAGCCAGGATGGTAAGGAGAAAAGTGGGAAAAGATACTACAATATAAGACAACAGAGGATTTGAGAACAGAAAGAGAAACAGAACCTTTTTTTGTTTTGTTTTGTTTTAATGGCTGTGCAACATGCCACAGTGTAGATGCACCACAATGTCATGAGAGGACTAAAGACAAAACAGAACTCAGAGCAGTTAAATAATGTCAAATGCTCCAGGAGGGCAAAATTCTTCAGCTATGAGAAGGGGGATTTCATCAACCTTAAAGAGGATTGCTGTGGGGATAAAGTGGGTCCTATTCACACACTGCATGTATCATGAAGACATTCAATGTCAATAATTTTCCTTTATGAAAGTGAGTTGCTGTGACTTACCTGTAGTTCAGACTATACCCTTACTCCAGGATCTTTTAAAGTCACGCTTACAAATACCTAGACATTACATTGTACTAAGGTAGTTTTTCTGTGTGTTCACTGTACTTGTCCCTAATAAATGTGCCTTTTCCCCCCTTCTGAATATGTCACTGGGACCAAATCCTTTGATTTATTGGCTGCACCAAAAATCACAGATTAATTGGCAAGATAAATACAAGTGACATTTTATTTTTACGCATCTCATTAATGTATCTCAACTCTGATTGATTAGTTCTCTTCCAAACAGTAGCTAGGATGGGACTAGAACTTGGTGCCATAGAGTAGAATGGTTTGTGCTGGTTGCTTTCCTGGGGGGAGGCTTTAAAATGTATTTCTTTGTTTCGTGTGTGCTCACATGACAGTCTCTTACATTTCTGTACCTATTTCTATTTTCTTCCCCAGGAACTAACTCAAGTAAAATAATTCTTAGCTCTTTCTTTAGGAGAGGGGTAAAGAAAATAAAGTACCAATCCAATTAGAGAGAGAGAGATAAGGAAAGTAGGAAAAGGTTGGAAAGGCATTTTATAATTCATTAATCTATACTGGTACCTCCTAAAATTTTTCCTTTCATAAAAAAGAACTGAAGAATAAGATCAGAAACTAGTAAGATATCACAGACTTTACAAGATTTACTACTTGCTTTTTATAGCTTTATTGACTATTACCAAGTTTCAATATGATTCAAATAATTAAATACTGCAACTGGGACATTAAAAATACAAACTAATTTACCAAAATAATTGTATTCTGAATATTATGTACAATATTATACATTTTACATTACATAAAGGGTTTTTATACATAAAGGTAAAATTTGATTTATGATTATTGAAAATCCAAAATATATTTGAACGAAACATTCCTATGCATACATATAATCACTCCACTGGGATAATATCAAAACCATACGTGAGTGTGGTATTAAAAACTAACTTTACATTCAAACAACAATGGTAGAAATTAAATGTCTTTATTAACTTGAGAGTATTATTATAAAACCACACACATATGAATTATATAACCTAATTCTATATATTTAAAAATCTTTATGTAGAGAGACAAATATGTCTTAATCCCAGAAGAATTTTTGATCTTTAATTTTTTTATTTTAGGGGACTTTTGTTGTCATTAAAATGCCATACATGGGCATAACACAAGCTCCAATCCCAGCAAACAGAAAGGTCATGAGGGTCTATCATATCAATAATGGGTATTTTACTGTAGAGTTTATGAGAAATAACCCTATTCAATTGTGTAATTTGGAATGCCTTCATATTCATACTTGTCATCAAAGTGATTACACATTGAGGACCAGAGTTTATGCGGGAAATATATATTATGGTAGAGAACTAGATATTGAAACAAGGATATTACTAGATGATTTCAGAAAAAAAAAAAAGAACTGAATGGATGCTCACATAGAAAATGACACCCACACACACTAAATTAGTTATTAAACAAGGTTTCAGTCCTTCAAGAAGGTTAACACACTGATGCATCCTACCTTGTTTAAATACTGGACTATCAAAGTCCAGAATACTGTGGCATAAGTTTAAGTACCATCTCATTTTAAAATCTAATTCCTTTCATGAACAGCTGTGATTTGAAGTAGAGCCAAACATTTTTCTGACACGAAAAGCCTAAAAAACAATGTCTTTATAAACAAAATGCTTTTCCAATCCTATGTCAGTCTGTACATGGATCTCATTCCAGAGACAGAGGGGTGAAAATTCCATCCCAACTATACACAAGAACCTTAGAAAGGCAGCAGTTAATAAACTGGCCATTGTTCTTAAAGGCTATACATCATTTTGCAGTATTCCCTACTTGAAATCCTGTATTTTGTTAAAGGCAAACAACAGAACACCTGGAAACTAGGAGACAGAAAAGTAACAAGCTGAAATATACAAAACCGGTGCTCTTTTCAACATCACATAATCTATGAAAAATGAGATTCAAAGGCGAAGGTTTGCTTTATTGTTTTTCTTCCGGTTCGTGTTTAGCTTGAATAGAAAAGCAGCTCTAACCTAGGTTATCAAAATATAGTCATATAAATGTATGAGCATTTCTAATATAAAAGTTAAAAAAAAGTCTAAATTCTTAATTTTTGTAATTAAATATCCTAGAGTTCAGTAGGCAGATTTATTTCTGAGCAGCTTGAAAAGAACCCGTCAGCTGAGCACTGTCCACGCGGTCGGCGCCGCTACATTTCCGCTCTTCGCTGGGATTTCTCCGCAACCGCAGCCCCGTCTTCTTCCTCTTCTTCCTCCTCATAGGGTTCCTCTCGGCGTTTAGGGCTGTGGTCATCTCGAGCTTCTTGTTCTTCACCATCATTGTTTTTTTCGTCGGCCTTAAAAGGAAAAGGAAAAGGGAAAATGAACAGATAGGGCACAGGGTTAGCGATATAAATAATTCCCTCCTTAAAGAATTAGTGTGAAGTTACTCATTTTTAGAGGAAGGAAACGAGTGGAGGACTATGTTCCGACAGGCAACAGTGCTGTTCTTCCCTAACCTTCACGTTGTCACAGGGTTTCCTAATTCTAGGTTGGCCCGTTAAAACTGCTCGGCGCCCGAGCCAGCCAGATGTGTCTCCTACGCATGCGCACACGCGCAGTAGCCATCTCTGTCCTATACCTACGTTTTCCTCATTTTCACCATACGTCTCCTCGGCATTATGTTCCAATTCCCTTTTTTTCTCTTCAGTCAAATCTTCCTGAACCTGAAAGAAACCAGAGATACCAGATGACCCTTTGTAGCATTTAAACACTTGCAACAACAGATTTTGATTTCCAAATAGTTCATTAAAAATAGCAGAAACAAAATAAAATTAAAACTAAATTCGAAAAAAGACAAAAGTCTTTTTGAGTCAAAGATTTAACTTGTCTATTAGCTATGAAGAGATGTGCAATACACCTCCTACAAAAAAATCAATGCCATCGATTTGGAGCCGAGGACTTTTCTGTTTGAGTTTCTTTTTCTGAATGAGCATTAACCCTGCAAGTATAACACCTAAAGAAATTCAGCTTATAAAATTAAAAATTCCCCATTTCAAGATGGGAGAACTGCAGATGTCTGAAAGCTCTGATGGAATGTAAGTTCTAGGAAGACAGGAACCATCTGTCTTACTCAACTGTCTTCAATACCTAGGTATGTCCCTGGCACACGGCAATTGCTTAATATACACTGGTGAAATGCATCAGTCAATGAATGAATAAGTGAATCAATGCAAAAAACACCTGCTCTGTGAAGGCACAGAAAACAGACACCATTACCTATACATGAGGTAGCAGAAAACAGAGAAAATGTGTATCTATAATCCTGTAATTAAGAGTAAGTTTCTCTGGCTAAAATACCTAGAACATAAAACACAATCATTTCAATTTCTTCATGAAATAGTTACTAAACTGCCCCAAATCCCTACATCTCTCCAGAGTTCTATTATGACACTTCTGTTTCAAGTTTTCTTTTATGTGCACTATTATTATTACATGTCTGTCACTGATCCCAATTATTTTTTTCAAAATGTAAATCAAAGAAAGTACCCCAAAACAGAGATCATTTGCCCCAAATCATCTCTATTTATTGATTCCAGTCCATAAAAATACAAGGTAAAATACTTTCTAACAAACTTTTAAAACGTGTATGTATACCAAAAGATTGAAGTCACTTGAATTTCAAAAAAACTTTGTGCCCATCCATTAAGCATCATGTAGTATCCTGGGACTAAAAGAAAAGCTGAGCTGTCCTAGGACACGGGTATAAGATTAGGTCTTCCCGAATAACACACAGAATCACCAGATTGAGGGCAGAGACAGGGAAGAGGGTGTTACAAGTCCCAGAAATGGGCAAGGTAGGAAAGCAAACAGATGTTACACTTAAAGAGGAACAGGTTAAGGGCTACCTCACAGTGTCCAGCCCAGGTGTGACAGGAATGAACCACAACCCACCAGCAGGAACCTGACTTGTTAAGAGCTAACAAAGATGACCCTTCAAAGAGACCTCCATGGAGCCCAGCTTTCCGGAACCTCTTCTAATCAGCCCAATGCCAGCCACACGCACAGCCCCTAAACTACAATGCAACTAAATAAATACATTCTGGGGACAGTGGCATAGGGCTTTTTTTGTACTCACATGTCCCAGTGGTGACAGCTAAGGAGAAGACACCTTAGTCTCACCTACAGGTTCTTTAACAGTCGTCCATAACCTCTCTTCTGCCCTTTGTCACATAATCTCATAGTAACCCTTGAGTTGAAAACACTGAATTACTAAATTTCAGACTACGTATATACTCGAAGTCTCACTAACTGAAACATCACTAAATTACTAAAGTATCCCCATCAATTTCAGTGAACAAAGATGTGTCTTCTGCAGCCTTAGTAATAAAAATATACTAGCGAACACCAAACTTGGTTTAGCTGGGGTTGGGAAGGAACTGCCTTGAAACTGCAAGGTGGTGGGAAAGTATATATAAATCAGGGTCCACAAAATTTTTTTGTGAAAGGCCAAATTTAGTAAATATTCAGCCTTGCTCAGCCATAAAGTCTCTGGAGCAGCTACTCAACCCTACCGCTGGGGTACAGAAGCAACCTTGGACAATAGGTAAACAAAAAGGCATGTTCAAGAGACCTGACTTACAAAATGGACTGAGACCTGTAGTCTGCCAAATCCTAACAAAGGCTGTAGATTCAGACAGACCTGGATTTAAACTGTGGCTGTATAAAAATAAGGTCACCTGTTTCTATTATGAACATTTGCCGGCACAAAAAAATAAAGCAAATAATTTAGGGAACTCCTTATAGCCATAACCAAGGTTCAAAAGTTAGCTCAATGCTGCCACCCTTGCATCACCTATCACTGTTCGTTCATTCTTTCTTTCTTATTTTGATGACCTATTCTTAAAAATTCTAGATCTCATGTAATTTCATTCTTACCCATCTCAGTATGTATCTCTAAAAACAATGGATTTTTCTTATATAACCACACCATTATCACACCTGATAAATAATTCCATGGTATTATCTAATGTCTAGTTCCGACTTAACATTTTCCTGATTATCTTCAAAATGTTAGGCACCTGGGTGGCTCAGTCGGTTAAGTATCTGCCTTCCGCTCAGGTCATGATCCCAGGTCCTGAGATCCCTGCCCAGTAGGGAGCCTGCTTTTCCCTCTGCTCCTACTCCTCCCCCTACCCCCACTCATACTCTCTCTTTCTGTCAAATAAATAAAAATCAAAAAACAAAAACAAAACAAAACAAAAAACCCAAAACTGTCCATTTATAGTTGGGTTTGGTCTAATCATCAACCAAAGGCCATACCTAATAGTAGTTCTGCTCCCCTTTTTTCCTTAATGCTATTGACTTGTTTTCCTGTAGAATGACCCACACTCTGGATTCACTGGCTTCTTTAACATCTCACTTAATTCATTCCTCCAGCTCTCACATTTCTTATAAAAGGAAGTTAAAGATTTATGTGAATTCAATTTGCAAAGCAAGAGTTTTTCAAAAGTGATGCTGCAGATTTTTGTATTTTCATCACATCAGGAAGCACATAACACTTGCACCATTTTTTGTGAGGCTGAAGTTGGTTGGTGAGCTCAGAAGGTAACTGCCTGAACCCTCCATGATAAAATTCCCCAACTTCCATTCATCTAGTGATGTCATCCATTGATGACTGGCTCTTAAGTCACCTGTTTTAATTAGAGTCTACAAAAATGGTGACTTTCTAATTCCATCACTCCTGCATTCACTAACTTCTATCAAGAAGAACTTGCCCATATCAATTATTTAGTTACTGTCCTTGGTATACTTAATTATGATAGCCTCTAAAATCAGATCTGGGGGTGCCTGGGTGGCTCAGTGGGTTAAAGCCTCTGACTTCAGCTCAGGTCATGATCCCAGGGTCCTGGGATCAAGCTCCGCAGCGGGCTCTCTGCTCAGCAGGGAGTCTGCTTACCCTCCTTCTCTCTCTGCCTGCTTGTGATCTCTGTCTGTCAAATAAATAAATAAAAATCTTTTAAAAATAAAAAGATAAAAAATAAAAATAAAATCAGATCTGGATGGGCTCTAATCATGGTTCCAACAATAACCAGCTATGTGATCTTCAGAAACTTGGCTAACCTCTCTAAGGGTCAAATTTCTTATCTGTCAAATAAAAGGGTTTGATAAAAATCAGTGATTTTTAATTTTCTGTGTGGGGGGGTCATGGACCCTTTTAAGACTTTGGGAAGAAATGCAAATGTATGCAAATAGGCACAGATACACATCACTTGACACAGAAGTTTCAGGAGGTTCAGACTTCCCCGAGTCCACCTGTGGCCACCTGTTCCAGGAATGCTTCTCCAAACAGCATGTTCCTGGAACTCTGATTCCTAGGCCCCACCACAGGTTAAGATCAAAATCTCCGAGGGTAAAATCCGATCCAGGAGTTTGTACCTTTCACACACTCTCTCCAAAGGGATTCTTAGCCATGGTAAAGACTGAGACCTACAAGCCTGAGTGACAGGCAGTGTAGGGTTAAGAATGTCTCTGACTAGAGAAATAAATGCCCTTGCATACATACTTTCTTCTCTTCCCTGGAGATTTACTACAGAATATCTCCGTTGTTTATCAGCTGTCAAAAGAATCTGAGGTAAGAAGCCCTGACGTAAATTACTCTTTAATTTATGGAACCCACAAATGCAAATTTTGTAATTTTCAAACTTATAGATAGACATTTTTATTCTGGTAATATCTTCTTTGTGTTTGGAACAAAAGTAATGCAAACTTGTTTTAAAAGGCATTACTGATGGGGCGCCTGGGTGGCTCAGTGGGTCAAAGCCTCTGCCTTCAGCTCGGGTCATGATCCCAAGGTCCTGGGATTGAGCCCCACATCGGGCTCTCTGCTCAGCAGGGAGCCTGCTCCCCTCCCCGCCACACCCTGCCTGCCTCTCTGCCTACTTGTGATCTCGGTCTGTCAAATAAATAAATAAAATCTTAAAAAAAAAAAAAAGAACATTGACTATTAAAAAAAAAAAGGCACTACTGAAAAGGAACAAAATGATACACAGAGTTTCTAATTTTCAAATATGCTTAGACTAATAACAGAAGCCAAATGTTACTCCTTTACAATGGAGACACACCAATTATGTCTTCCACATTCGACCCTCTTTAGTACACTGATAAAGCTGATGCAAACATTCTGTCAGAGATTTCCTAACACTGCTCCTCATTACTCATTTTTATTCACTGAAATCTAATGTTTTAGGCATATTAGAAATGGTCCCTATGTGATGTAGCAAAGTTTAATCGCCAAAATAAGACAGATCTACTGAGTCCGAAATGGGCTTTGGCTTTACACATCAAAGATGTCATGGGATGAGACAGGAACCAGAAGGCTGAACTTGAAGTAGATCAGAATGCTAAGATCCAAAGATGTGGATGGAATGTGACAAAGGAAAGGCCTTCAGCACCAGCAGCTCTTGGAGTCATGGTGAACAGGGGAGCTGTGCTGCCTGGCCAGCTCCGTGCTAGGGTAACTCCCGGCTGGCAGTCCCACTAAAGGTAGCCAAGTAACCCTGGGCGTGCTCTCCCATGAGTGCACAGATCCATCTGTGTTCGATTATATTTGGACAAAATGAGCACTGAGAGTGTTTTCAAGCAGTCATTTAACTTACATATTTTTTTGAGCATTTAAATCACTTTTAAGCACCATAGCACCTTTTGGCAATGCCATACTTTGTCTTGTTTGCTCATCGGTCGATAAAAAGTCTGGAAAGTAAGCAACACAGGGATGGGATCCCCACATGAATGTCCCCAACATCCATGAACACTTGTTCATAACCATCATTTTTATATCATAGAAGGATAACACTACTGCCCTAAAAGAAGGCAGGGATAGTGCAGATTTCCAAAAAGCACACTTGTCTTGGGTTCCACTCTCTGAGCTCAAGTCACAAGTCTGATGGGCTGAACCTCTAAGCAGGGAGGGCCCTAGCAAGATGGACTTCATTCCTAGGAGCAAATGCTGATGGAAGTCAGGTGATGTGGGAGGGGAAGCAACGAAAGCAATGGGCCATACATCCCTGTAGTCAGTGTACTCTGAAGCTCAATGCAGAGGAGGACACAGATGACACGTCACTTCATGGCTTTTGGAGCATCCCACAAATGTCTCACAAGCATCACTTAGAAACATGAAATGGCTCTCACATATTGCATTCCTCTCCTTCCCATTTTGCTGCAGTCTGGTGAGAAGCTCATCTCCAACTATTACTAGCCTTAAATGGTATTTGGGAAACACTCTTCTCCCTCCTCCGGGAAAGAACTGGGAACAATGGGAAAAGGTGGGAAGATCCAAGAGCTAACCATCTCAGGAAGGCACCACAGTCTGTGCAAGGGCCCCTCAGGGACAGAGAGAGGAGTCACCCAGGGAAGGAGAAAGGCAAGCTGAGAGCATTCCTCCATGGGAGCGTGCACGACCTCAGACTTCAGGCCTATGCAAGAGGGGGACAGCAAGAAGGGCAGAGACTCCAGAGAGGAATTCAGAGCAGGAAACCAGAGAAAGAGAAGCAGGACCCGGGCCCACATGCAGGGAGAGAAAGGGCTGTTTAAACTGGACTGAGACCTGTAGTCTGCCAAATGCTAACAAAGGCTGTAGATTCAGACAGACCTGGATTTAAACTGCAGGGAGAGAAAGGGCTCCAGTGGGCTCAGAGCACCCGAGGGACAAAGAGCAGCAGTCCTCACCCCGGCCTGTCACCACTCTCTTCCCCTCCTGTCTCTTTCTTTTTTCCCTATCCTTGAACCTGCTTGGATCACTGGAGTGCTCTCTCCACCTTAACTGACATAACATGAAGGTTAAAAAAAAAAAATCAGTAAATATGGATTAAAATTTTATGTTTACCCTTCTGCATTTTAAAAAAAAAGGTCAAGGTGAACCTCCTCTCTTTTAATCCCTCAAAGATATCTGGCATCGGACATAATGAGACACAATAATATTTGTCTAGACATCCTGTTACAAGAGAAGTCCAGATGAATACCTTTTTCTTGTCAAATGTCTTAATATTCAAGGCTGCTAGTTTTTCTAATGCTCTCCTATGATACCATAGCTCAGGATCTTGATCAGCATGAACAGCAGGATGAGAACAGAGAAAGAATAAAAAGATCAAGCCAGAGTGCACATGAGTAGAGCTGTATGTTGCCAATGGCTGTAAAGAGCAACATCCCTTTCTGTTTTTCCGGTATAAGCACAAATTTTATTACCATTAGCTCTGAGAAGTGGACAACAAACGCTACAAAAATGAAAAAGCAGGGCTAGTTGAGGCAACTACGCACACGAGTATAGCAGCACATGGATTCTGAGCAGGAGCCCCAGTGGCGGGTGGATCTGTCTGGGCTGACATTTGTCCATCCATTCACGGAATTCCCCTTAGGGCTAAAGCCTCATGTTGGCAAGAAGCCTGGCTGAGAAACCCCTCTGAACCAGAGCTTTCCTGGGCCAGAGAAAGAGACTCAACATGGGACTTGTCGAGGCCTGTGCCTCATTCATAGCATGTCCCCAGGTTTGGAGCTTCAGGGGTCCATACAGTAGAGCACTGTGACTAACCAGCCCTAACCAGACGTGCTTGTCCTTCACTTACATAGGTGTGCCATCACGATGGGCGCTCCCTTTACCTAGTCAGCAATCATCTGCCAGAAGTTTACAATAAAAAGGAAACTAAAATGAAATTTAAGAAATTCCACCCACAGAGGAACAACTGAGTGGCTCAGTTGGTTAAGTGTCTGCCTTTGGCTCAGGTCATGATCCCAGGGTTCCGGGATCAAGTCTCACATTGGGCCCATTGCTCAGCGGGAGTCTGCTTCTTCCTCTGCCTGGCTCTCCTGCTGCTTGTGCTCTCTCTCTCTCTTTCTGACAAATAAATAAATAAAATCTTTTAAAAAAAGAAGACAGAAAGAAATTCCACCCATGGGGCGCCTAGGTGGTGCAGTTGGTTAAAGCATCTCTTAGATTTCGGTTCAGGTCATGATCTCAGGTTGTACGATCGAGCCCTGTGTCAGGCTATGTGCTCACATGGAGTCTGTTTGAGATTCCCTCTCTCCCTCCCTCTGCTCCTCCCCACCCCATGCTCACTCTCTCTCTAAAATAAATCTTAACAAAAAAAAAAAAATCTACCCAAATGCTTTTTATTCAGCTGAGCATCTTACATACTTTTCCCTTCCTTTATCATCAAATTTCATTATGACACTAAATTCCTAGGACGGAAGAGGCAAAAAGTAGACACTTAAAACTCTTTTGGAGGGTGTTAACTGTATTCTGACAGATACTGGGAGGTACCCTCTTGAGGCAGAACTGTGGCAATGTCTACAAGTTACAGGGGTCACTCCAGAACCCCTCAACAGGCAAAGCTTTGTTGTTCTCTTTTATGGGGGAAAGAAACAGGAGAAAATATTTCTTACAAAAAACAGACAGACCTAGGTCCACCATTCCTAGAAGGCCACATGTCTTCTTTCATTTCAAAATTTCCAGTGAGAACCAGGAGGAAGGATTCTATGACCCTGTTTTGGTTGCCTCCTAATCAAACGTCTCTACTTCCACGGTCCATTTCTTCTTGAAAGCACCTTTTCTCCTCCCACCTCTGTCTTTCTGAAGGTGCCTACAGAAGGTGTGTCAAAGCCCATGCCGTGACGTAAGGGGAGTGTGATACACCAAGCATCCTGACCAGTTTCCTGCACTCCGCCTCCCTACCTCCTCCTCTCCCTCTTCCTGGTACTGCTCGTCAACATTATCCTCCTGCTGGTCTGGGTTTCCTGCCATCTGTTGAAACAAAAGGGGAAGCTCAGGTTACTGAACATTGGAGATGTGTTTCATAGTACGCTGGGACAAAGAGCAAGCTTGCTGCCATAAAAAATGTACTTTCAATGCATCAGTGGTCAGAAAATGATGAATAACCCTTCCGAAAACAAAACCTAGGAGGCGTGTTACTCTGAGTATGGATATACTGTTTCACATAATGGCCTAAAACCCAACCAAAGAAGCAAACCTTCCATCAGCACGCATTAGACTGACCCTTTGCCAAGACCTAGGCAGTTAATAAGACACCCAGGTTAGAACCACCTCTGTACTAGCGTCTGCTTACCACCAAATGTTCCTCCATCTCGGCATTCTCTTGCTTTTGATTACTTTGTTTTGGCTCTTCATTTTCATCTGGCAAATTTTCTTCCCTCACTTGCTCGGCTTCCTCAAATTCATCTTCACCTTGATTATTAGGGTCATCTGCTGGGTTTATATCCTCTACAGCAGCCCTCTGCAAAATTTGAATAAAAAGCAACCACTACTTCAAAATCCAGGATCAAATTTAATTTCATTTGAAAGGCCACATACTGGCAGAAAATGAAATCGTCCTCCACCAGAATGTTCAGATCTATCCTTGCCCAGACTCACAAGTACACATCCCACTGTCAAGAGAAAACTCCTTGCACTATTCGTCAGAGGCTGAATGAATGAGAATGCTGTACAAACAACACTTGTTTTCTGCAAGTGATTCCAAAACAGTCCTCCGAATTCTATCACAAGAAATGTGAGCATAACTAAATAGATAACAAGAAAAACAGTGAATAAAAGCTACAAGACAGGGCGCCTGGTTGGCTCAGGTGGTTAAATGACTGCCTTCGGCTCAGGTCATGATCGTGGGGTCCTAGGATCGAGCCCCGCATCAGGCCCCCTCCTCAGTGGGGAGCCTGCTTCTCCCTCTTCCACACCTCCTGCTATGTGCTTGCAAGAGCTCACCCGCTCATGCCCACCTCACTGTCTCTCTGTCAAATAAATAAATAAAATCTAAAAAAAGGAAAGAAAAAAGCTAAAAGACCAACTAGGAGAGATCATTAAAATGAGAGATTTAGATAGGCAAATTGTAACTTCTTCCATGAGTATGCTGATTTTTATACAGGCAAACTTTCTTCTACCAGGGATTTTTCATGGTAAGTGGGTGGACAGCCCTTGAAGAGCGAGAAGGCGCCAACAGAAAGGACCTAAGAAATGGGCTCTAAAGGAGACAAGAACGGGCTAACCCAGTCTCTGGCAGTGTATCATGAAAAACCTCTCCCCCAACTCCTTCTCTGGCAGCTCTCAGTGACCATGTTCAACAAATGCCCTTCACATGATCAACTTGAGATTTATCTCTATTTTCCACTCAAACTCCCAAATCACCTTTCAAAATAATCCACATCTTCGTGAAGAAACAGAGTTTAAAGCCTAAGCTGGGCAGACGGTAATGCTTGCAGGAGCTTCCCGATGCCTCCAGGGTCACCAACAGAACACTTAAGGGAAGCAGCAGAGGCTTCTAATAGATGAGGCCTCAGAGTGAGATTTGGTCTCTATTCCTGTTCTCCAGACAATAGGACTCGACTCCGATTTACTCCAGGGCCTTGAACGCAGTCAAGGGTTCACACCACTGTCTCAGCTGATCTACGACGCGCACACCCCTGCTTGTACACTTCACGCCAGTGCAGATGACGCTCTTCTTGGGAATCCAGAGTGACAAATCAACACCTTTGCACAACGCCAATTACCCCCACAATCTCGTTAGATAGATTTCTTTCTGTGCATTACCAACAAATTTGTGTGGAAATTATGTAACACATTCTCTTCAGAAAAAAAGTACAGAAAGCTTTTGCAAAAACCCATGAAATGTACACCCTGGGTCCAACTCTAACCAAGTAGCAAGTTCAATAGGCACAGTTGTTACATTCAAATAAAACAGATGATCAGTTATGAATCAGTTATGATTCAATGAAGCTGGGCAAAAATTTTTTAATTAAAAAAAATAGATGAGACAAAGAGAGAGACAGGTAGGCTAACAATTTTCACTGAAAGAAGGAAGGGGAGGAAAGCCACCAGTGTGTCATCCAGAACATGAAAACCACTAATGGGAGAGTAAAGGGTTACACAATCAAGTATTCAATGTACACAGCACCTCCCAGAGGGGGGTGACTGGAACAGGCATCCTTTTGCTGCCCCTCCATCCCTGTCAGGCGCACACCTGCTTCCTTGCTCCTCTTGCAAGAAACTCTTTGCCCTTTCACAGTCTCTAGTTCCTTCTTGCTCTCCTGCTGTCTGGAGCTCCTGCTCTTTCCTGAGCATCCTCTCCCAAGTGCTGATCCAGGGGCCACAGGCAAATATATCTGTCACATCCCTGCACAAGCAGAAAAGCCATTTCCATCCAAGGGGCTTCAGGTAGCTACCAGGAAGCCTTCCTTCTATGATTCTCAAGGAAGGATATGGATCCTCCTTCCCATACAAACAGAACCCATATGAAAGCACAGACTGAATTTCATAAACATGGTGCTTGATTTACTAGCAAGATGACAAGAGAGCTAAAGTAAGTTGTAGAACTCATTTACACGTCTGCACAAGAACATGCCCCATGGAGCCTTGCTTGCCCCGGGCTCTGGGCCACACAGCTATGAATTGAAAGGTTGGGTCCTTTCTTGGTAAACACAAAGAACATTCCCAGTTAGTAAGTCTCTACCAATTTATATTCTAATTTTCTATAGCACCTTGGCACCTGAGCAGATTTTTTCTTTTACTTCTCAAGCCACACATCCTTATCCACCCATGTATTGATGAAAATGGCCCCTGACTACTGGGAGATGAGAGTCACAAGACATACAGAACACTCTATCAGACTATTCAACAGGCTCCATGATGGTCCATTTCCTTTCCCTGGTTCTCTGACTCCCACACTTGTCCCCGTTCCCGCCATCTTTCAAAATGATTACATATTTCAATACCTCTCAATTTCGTTTTTCTCAGCTTTAATTTTATTAATCTAGAAGTTCGCAGAGGGAAAGTCCTTCTATATTTTCCCAGAACTTTTGAACCAGTCTCATCACCCACACGTACACCAGTTTACAGTTAACAACATTGCTGATGCCATTACACAAGTCCCCTTTCTTCTGCACTGACGAAATAACAGACACATCTGGAGCCAGGGCTGGAGCCAGAGGCATGGTGTCAGGCAAACCTTCAAGTTCCCTCTGCCCCACCCCAACCCCGTTTCCAAGTGTCATGACCAACAGAAAGGACACTTACATCTGCCTCAGATTCCGGGTCGGTTTCATGGGGCCCCTGATCTTGAGGCTCATGTCCATTCTCTGGGTCTTCTTCTGCCTCATCTTGGTGCTGGTTGTCTCTCTCATAGGCTAGCAAATTGAAGGAACTAACATCAGTGTGGATGAACCAGACAGGATCTTGCCCTTTCACTCAAAGAAAAGCCACTGGTGGGCTTTCCTCCAGACCATTTCACCCAATCTCTCCTCCAGAGAGATTAATTCACCATATGGCATACATCTCAGCTTTTCTGAATAAAACTATGTCTCTTTCCCAGACCATGTGTCTAAGGACACAGCGTGGGTGAGTGACACCATTCTTACCTTCTCAAACCAGTATTTGTAACATAAGCTGCATTCTCCCCCTTATTATGCAGAAAACAATAACCAAAACTTTTACAATAAAAGAAAGCCCAGTCAACTGGACACTGCCAAAATTATCAGCTAACTTTTGGTAATATCAGAGGAAGCACCAAGGTACAAAAGAAGAAACTGATAACGTCTCAGGAAATGAAAGAAAGAACAGCCCCATCTGCAGAGCTCAGATCAAAGGCAGCCCACCCCGTGTTGTCTGATATGGCAGTGCTGAGGGCTGCCGCCCCACAGACACAGCTCACATTTTAGCTCGCACAGACATTTCTTCACTGCTTTTGGAAAAAATTATTTCCATAAAGGGAATTTAGATAAGAGCATACAAAGAGAAGAACAAACAACTTTTTAAGTAAGATGTAAGAGGAAAGGTTAAGTACATGGAGAGTATTTAGCTTATAGGAAATAGGGATGCAAGGTAACTTACCATCAGGTTTCAAGTGCACCAAGGGATTCATTAAATAAATAAGAGAACAAACTGTTCTCTCCTCTTACTGATAATGGAACAAAAAAGCTTAAAGTGCTGTACAGGGGGACATAAGGAAAACAATTTCATGACTAGAAGGGCTATAAAATTTCAGAACAGGCTATAGAGGGAGTTTGGGTAATCACCTTCTTTTTTAGATTCTTTAAGAAAGGATACATATCTGACTGTTAAAGTTGCCAGAGAGACTGTTACTTTTTAGTTCTATTATATAGTAAGTGATATTTGATAAATTACATAGGAGATGCTCACCACAAGTGGAAGCTACTACTGCCTTAATCTGAAAAAGTTTTAAAGGCAATAATCCAAAGGCTTCCAAGGTAAGGTGAAAATGGAGTCACTTCCCAGAGTATAACAGCCCGATGATAATATATCAAAAATAATATTTCAATATACAAGAAGCTTAAGCGACGGGAAAAACATCAGAAAGGAAAGAGATGATCTCGAGCTGTCTGGACTACCGGCATGCACTGTCTGGGAGGATTATCAAAAACATAACAGCAACAACAGCAAAAGATGCATGGTACACAGTCGTCCTTTGTGTGTACTCAGATGTGCACATGACTCTGAGTGGATATCACATGTTACCAAGTAATCTTATTAACACATCCATCATCTAAGAAGTCTCACCACCTCCTTCCTCTTCTTGGACGCCCTGGTCCTCGGCTCCCTGAACAATATCATGATCCACAGCATCATAACGAGCTTGCTGCCTGGAAAGAACACAAACAGCATCAATTCAGGGACAGATTAAGTGGCACAACTGGCCATACATCATTTATATTTAAAGGTAGCAATAAACAAAGTTTCCAACATTTTTTAAAAAGTCATAAACAAATTTTTTGTAAACTTTGTGCTATTAGGTTTCATAAAGATTTCAGACACAATTTCAAAGAATACTTTAAAACAGAGAAAATGCCTTTCAAGTGATAAAGTAAAATAAAGTTAGCCCCAAACCTGCCAGGTTATTTTGAGGCCTAAACTAAGCTTGGAGCCCTAACATTTTTAATTAGGGGTTAAAAATGTTGATTATCTTAAAAATTATTTAGAAATTTAATTCTCAAGCGGCTGTTCCGCCCCAGCCATAAGAGACGCGCAAGCTCATAAGTAACAAAGCTGTTTGCCATCTGCTTATACGAACAAGAACAAGAGGCGCAGGGCCCCTGGGTGGCTCAGTTAAGCGCATGCCTTCGGTGGAGGCCATGGTCCGGGGGTGCTGGAGTCGAGTCCCACCACGGGCTCCCGTCTCAGCGCGGAGTCTGCTTCTTCCTCCGCCCGCCCTTCCCCGGCTCATGCCCTCCTCTCTCACTCGTTTTTAAGTAAAATCTTTAAAAATAAATAAACAAATAAAAATAAGGAGAACAAGAAGAGGGGCTCTGAGCACCCATCAGGAGGAGGCTACCGGAGCTGTTCGGGGGGCTGCGGCCGCCCCTCCTCCTCCGGGCTGGCCGGCCTGTGCCGGGCCACCTCTCCGGCCAGAAGCTGCTGCTGCTGCTGCCATTGCCGCTGCCTCCACAAGGGTCCCTGCAGCCGAGGCTGGTGCAGCGCCTCCTGGTGCTCCCTCGGCGGCTGAGCCTCCTCCGCCCGCCGCGCTGCCACTTGCTGCTGTTCCAGCTGCTCCTCATACGGTGACCGGATTCTGCCAACCGGCTTGGCCGACGGATAGACCTGAGCCACAACAAGCAGGTGCTGAGCAAGAAGAGTCGGGACCTCTGGATTCTCTTGTCCTCTGTTCTTCGGGACAAAGTCAGGGGGCAGGGCTGGCTTGTTGAATTAATCCGTGTCTGTCAGGTGCACCGTGATTACACCCTGACCCCAAGGTCCCCCAGAGCCAGAACGCCTACTTCCCAACCCTCTGAGGCACCCTCGGCTTCTTTTAGCATCGGATCTCCCTGATTTGCTGGCATTTTGGCAGATTTTCCATGTGCTCTCTCTCACGTGGAAGAGGGCATCACAGACAAAATCAGTTTTGGACCTTCATTAAATGTTAGGTTCGAAAGGCTCTGGCATAAGTGGGCACTTGGGTGACCTCACAGTAACTGGGGCATTTGTGAGCTAAAGCTGTGGCTAAGGCTTTTCCACGAAGAGTTTAAGATGCAGGGATGCCAATTAATTCTAGGAATGCACAACCAGTCTCGGTTAACCATAGCGGGGGCGGGGGGGGGGGGGAGGAAGCAAGCCAGCCAAATTTCAGGTAAAGGTCGAGAGCAGAGAACTGATTTCTTCAAAGAAAAAGAGAATAGGTGAGAACATAAGACCTTTCAATGAAGGGAAAAACAGATACAGGAATTCTTAAACTCTGCTGCCCACCGAGCTACCCGTCACTCTCTCCTCCGCCACCCCCTGTCCCAACCAACATAAGCACACACGACTTTCACCAACAGAAAGAAGGTACATGGGTAAGGGAAATCAAACCCACGGTGGGGACTGCTTTTGAAGAAAGCTATGAGGGACACAAGAAAGGGAGAGGCTTCTCCATGCTAAGTTGGCAACAATATAGAAAAGCAGTCGAGGCCTTTGCATCTACTCAGCCCAAAGCCTCAACCAGCTTGAAGTCTTAGAAAGTCTGTGGGCAAACACAACTTCAGAGTCATAAGTAAAAGGGGATCAGCATCTGTGTAAAGGCCAAGTAGCCCGCCGTCAGGTTATCTGCGGACAGACAGCGGAAGAAAGATACCTCTCTTCATTCAGTGCTGCTTCAAGTTCTTTTCAAGAATGATTTCTAATATAATGGATTTTTTAAAGGGAAAAAACCATATTTCTGTGAGAAGGAAGTGCTCTGGCAGGGGGAGCCTGAGCAGAGACTGGGTAAACATCCTCCCCCAGTGGGGCATCCTTAAGTGATAAGATCAGCCTTGTGACAACTTAATAACCACCTTGAAGATGAATGTGCAAAAGCAACCTACCATTGGATGGTAAATGAACGGGGAGAAGTAGACTTTTGATCATAGAAAATGAGACCTTTCTCAGCCTCACAACGCCCATGGGACTTGAGCGCCAGGAAGTGCCCAGTCAGGCACTCCTCTCTCCTCTCACTGCTCAGAGAAGGGCAGCAAGGACTCCGTGTGAGGCTACTGACAAAGAAAATACACTCACCAACTGCCCTCTCTTTCCCCAGGCATCTTTCTGAGCTACCTGATCGGCTATGCTAGGAGCATGTAACATTTAGTGAACTCACTCAGATTTTGTCTGAGAGGGTGTCAGCTCTGGGGAGGCTTTTTCAATATTTAAAAGCAAAGCCATGCTCCCTGTCCCAGCCACCAAAACATAACCCTGGTGGACGGGAAGCAGATGACCTTGTACCTGGGCAGGAGCATGCCCTCCCAGAAGGTTGGCTTCCTCTCCAGCTTCATGCTGTTCCCTCCACTCCCGATCCTGTTCCTCAGGGGACGGGTCGTGCTCCTCCTCCAGACGCTCGGCCTGCCCGACCTGCTCCATCGCTTCCTCCTCCAGGGCCCTTCTGTGCTCCTCTTCCACCTGCCGCTCCTCTGGCTCTCTGGCTTCAGCTCCGCGGGGCTTCAGCTCTGCTGGAGCCTGAAACTCTGCCTTCTTCTGGGTGGGAGAGTCAAGTTTTGTTTCTTCCGTTCTTCGAGGAACTGCTTCATGCGTCTGCCACCCGTCACTATTTCGAGACACCTAGGCCAAGCACATCACTGGAGATGACACTCTTCAATTTTGAAAGCAGTGATAAAAGCTCTTTATTACCATGTCTATGGGTTACAACATAAGCAAAATCCTGGAGCCTAGAAATACAGTCCTGACTGAAAAGTATGGCGCAGTGGAGTCACTTAACTCTTCTCACTCTGTAATCTCACCTATAAAATAGAGATAACATAAGCACGATTTCATCCCGGGAATAACACAGTACGTAACCCAAGAATAAAGCCTGTATGTGACCACATCTTAGTAGGGAAAGCCATCTAACTTCTGTTTTCCCTTAAGACAAAAAGGAAAAACCCCTCAACCTTCAAGTGATGAAGAGTTTATGTAATTTTCTTCAATGTAAATTTTGTTTTCAATAAGGATTTGGAAAGGAGGACACTGGGCTGGCTCAGTCACACGAGTATGCGACTTCATGTCCAGGTTATGAGTTCAAGCCCCACAGGAGGGGTGGAAAGCTCACTTAAATTAATGGAACTTTAAAAAAATATGAGTTGAAAAGAGAAGGATAAGATCAAATTGATGATGAGTTGGGTTTATTTCCTACTGACCCAGAAAAAAGAATGCCATTACTAATAGGCATCCATGTTAGCTAAAAATAGTGCCCATGAAGCCAGATACAATAAAATATTTTAAAAAACATATTAGAGTCGTATTTCTTCAAATTAGAGGAAATCCTTGGTAAATATTCTGTATTGTTAACACATAAAATTCAACATAAGACATGTCTTTTTACAGAGAACTCCTCTTCTAAACTGACTGGTTTAAATTGGTTTTCCTGGATTTAAAGTTTCAGAGATTACCATGTGACCTTCATTGATTAGAAAAGAGGGGTAAAAAAAAAAGATGACATAATATCATAAGAAAATTTATCACTCTTTCCCCCACTGCAGCCTTATTCATTGGAAAAAATTTTGGTCAGATTGTTCCTCCAAATTGAAATAAATGTGAAGCCCTCTTAAATTAGCAGAACTATAACTGAGAAATTGGAATGAATAAATGAAAGAAAGAACGAATGAAAAATAAATGGAGGAAGAAAATTCCTCTCTCAGATATCTGAGGACAACTTCTGGAGATGTATGTCTTACCAACATCCTCACACACCTGTCAGGTTTGACATAATACTGCTCTGGCTTTATATGAAATATTTCTCCAAAGGGCCTTAAGTGCTTTCAAATTCCTGCCATTTATCTCCACAGCATTACCGTGAGAAAGGTTATAGAAGATAACTACTATCTCCACCTCACAGATGAAAAACTAAAGGTCTAAGTCATTAAAAGACTAATTAATTCAGTAAATGGGTAGTCAGACTCAGCAGGGAATAGAACCAATTCCCAGGCCAGGGATCTGGTCATGTTTTCCTAATAGTAACAAGGAAGGATCCATGAAGACAGAGACAGTCTTGCCTGTGAAGGAGTGCTCTGCCAGACTGAAGACTTCTATGAAGTCCACTTGTAGAGACTTAATTATTCCCATAAGATGGTAACTCAGGACACAGCTTCTCAAACATTCGTTGTTAAAAACAACTTTCTCCGGGAGAAAGATAGCCATATTTGTCATTTGTATTACACATGTGATTAAAACAACAACTTCTTTAGAATTGAGGACAGGGGTGACCCTACTTTTGATGTCCCACTTAGAAGACACTCTTAAGCAAGGCTCAACTTTTATGAAAGCAGGAATAACAAACAAAAAAAAAGTGGATTAAGAGACTAGCCCCATATCTTTGACAGTTTTATAAAAGCCACTTAAATACAATTTTTGGCTTGTTCTGTGTGGACCTAGCACTGCACCAAGTTCAACTATACTACCAACTTTAATTCTTGAGTGGGCTTTTATAGAACAGCCTCATGATCATTTAATCTTCTTACTCTACCCTCCAAAAAACCAAACAACAGGAACAAAAAGAAAATGTAAAAATTCAGAAACAGCCCCTTCAAAAAAAAAAAAAAAACCCCACATGAACAAATAAACCAGTGAAGTCTTTCCCAGAAAATACTGTAGCAGTAGCTCTGATTGTCCTCCCCAGACCAGCTGAATCAGTCAGAAATGGAAATCTTCAGGCTTCATCCCAAAATAACTGAACTGGAAATTCTGGGCTAGAGCCCAACTCTCTGCGTTCTAACAGCTCTGCTGGGGACTCTGATAAACGCCGAAATTTAAGAACCACTGTTCTGAAGGAAGAGTTGGCAATATTTAGAGCAGTTCATCTGATGACAGCTTGACAGGGAAAGTGACCCCATCACAGAATACGGGTTCACGCCTCTTACCTCCTGTGGCTCCCCGGCTGCGTTCTCCCTCACTGTGTTGTCACCTTGTGGAGAATGTGTCACCTGGGTAACATTCTGCTGCTCTGCTTGCTCTGGGTTTCGAAGGCTTGGAATCCTATTCAGAGTGTCTCTCAACTGTTTATATTCTGCAACTTGTGTCTGTGTGTAAATTGCACAATTGGACACAATTATATAATTTGAGGAGGGAAAGAGATATCGTTCATGAATGGACATTAGGGTTCACTGGAAGACAAGTCTAAAATATTATACCCAAGTACAAGTTAGGAAAAAGATGCACATTATTTCCATGCATTAGCTATTCTCACTTGGACACGCTTAACCATTTTTAAGCACATGCAAATGAGAATTAGATATAAAGGGAACGGAGGGAAAAAAAAGATCTAAGACAGATGTTAGTTTCTCATGCTATGTTAAACAGTCAGAATTTTTATAAATAACTTTCTGGTATAAATATCATTATTAAAAGATAGTTTGCCATCAGTTTTATAGCATTAAAAAAATCTGTTTAAAATTTCACATAATTATATAAATACAAGTGCAGGTATCTTTTACCAATATGGTCTGAGTAACGTTTTTCAGTGAAAAGGAATCACAAGTTTAAAATAAGTAACTAAGTAAATCTTTATGTATATTTAGTTATTTATTTATAAAACCACTCAGGCCATCCCTCAACCCCCCCATCAATCTGTGCTCGAATAGGGTTCCCTAACTTTCCAGAACGCTTCTGGTATTGTGTTCTGCAGATTTAGGAAAGCAACAGCATTGGTATGAAACGAGCCTAGATTTTTATTCCTCCATTGTGAACCTCCTTTCTTCTCAGGTGATAAAGCCACTGATGTAAGTATTGAAGTAAAATTAACTCATCCAGGTGTGTCTGTGCAGTGGTGGTATGTATGTGTGTGTGCATGCACAATATCTTTAACCCACTGAGCCACCCAGGCGCCCCCACAATATCTTTAATACAAGGAGCTAGAAGGACAGAAAAAAAAATCAAATACCTTAACTAAGAAAATCAATAGACACTGCTCATACTTAGCTCATCATATGCACCAACACTGTTATCCTAAAACAGAAATGCTGTGTGTGTAAAGACACACCTACATAAACACATATGAAAAACACAGAAATCTCTTCTGGACAAGTTTCCCAGCCAATGGGCACAGCAGAGTGGTGAGTGGAAGCTAGAATCCAGCTGGTACTCCCACCGCCCCAGTCGTGCACTCTTCCACCCCAGCAAAGGGGGGGCACTTTTTTATCCAATTCATACAAAGGTGCAGTAGTTTTCTTGCTAAATCTGTCTCAGAGGCATTCATCCTTGCAGTTTGTATAAAGGTATGCCATATGGCTAATAATGGCCCTTATCCCCGAAATCTATCAAAATATCTGCAAACCAACTTTGGTGGTCAAAGAAAAAATTTTTAAAAAGACATCCACATAGTGATACTTTTAAGAAATATTTCTTCTTTCTCCTCCTCCTAGATATATATTTGAAAGCAGTTATGCTGCAGTACTCCAATATGAGTATGCCCTGAGAATCCCAGGATAGTGTTAAAAGTGCAATCTCCTGGGCCCCCACCCTAGAAACGATCACTCAGTAGGTGTGGGGCAAGGCCACACAGTTACACAGGTAACTGTGATGCAGGAAAGTCTCCAAAAACACCAGCTGAAGAGGTACACATGGCCGTGATGTCAAGAGGACTTAAACTCTAAGCTCCGTTCTGGTTGCTGATCTTGGGCCAGCTATTTTATTTCCCCTCGACCTCCTTTTATTTAGTTATAAAAAGGACACAATGTAATATAACTCAATAGACTGTGAACATTAAATAAAATTCTGTATAAAAAGTTCTTATGATGATCCCTGACACACTATAAACTCAAATTGTATTCTGTTTTTTTTTTTTCTTTAAGATTTTATTGATTTGTCAGAGAGAGAGCACAAGCAAGGGAAGGGGCAGGCAGAGGGAGAAGCAGGCTCCCCCGGGAGCAAGGATCCAGATATAGGGCTCGATCTGAGAACCTTGGGATCATGACCTAAGTTGAAGGCAGATGCTTAACCGACTGAGCCACCCGGGCGTCCCTCTATTCTGTTCTTGCTGTCCCCCCACTCAACTACACTTATAAATTGGGTTGTCAGGCACCTGGGTGGCTGAGTCAGTTGAACATCCAACTCTTGGTTTCGGCTCAGGTCACGATCTCGGGGTCATGAGGTTGTGCCCCACGTCAGGCTCCGTGCTCAGCTCAGAATCTGCTAGAGATTGTCTCTCTCCCTCTCCCCCTTCCGCCATGCATGTGCACTCTCTCACTCTCTCTCAAATAAATAAATAAATCTTTAAAAAAAATCAGGATGTCAAGTCACAATCTCATAAGATGATTTACATCAGAAATGTAGACACTTGAAGCAGCATTTCTTTTCTAAGGAGATCCAGGGAAAAGTATTAATACGGGGATCTGAGGTGGGACTATTAAGTACTACACCTAGTTCTGGCAGAATGATTTAAAGGGGGTGGTGGGCAGGCCAACTTGAGCCCCTTCTCAAAGAAGCAGAAAATATTTTTAAAGAAATAGAATACTACACATAAGTTACATTAATAAAATCTTTTCCTATTGCAAAATCCTGTCCCATAAAACTGCCAGTGTGCTTACTACAGAATTTGGTTTTGGTCATTAAATGCACTATTTTACTACATTTCTCTGGATTTTCACACTGTTGCTTAGTCTAATATTTGAGGCCACGACAGCACACAGAATATTCAAATTGGTTTGTCGCATTTTTCAGCATGAAAAACAGCCTCAAATAAAATAGTATTTGGTAAAAATTTTATAAAGAAGGTTTTAAATGAAATGATCTCTTAAAGACAATTAATTTGTACACCTGTAAAAAATTACCACACAGCTAGAGTTTCATAGGGATACTCAATGGCTACCTTGAAAAGGAGTCCCACGAACACAGATTCTACAGTCTATGAGATGGGTCAGGGCCCAGTGTGTTCTACTTTTTATAATTTTACAAAGACAAAAAAATTACACATAGTCTCCCAATAAGACAGATAGCTGGTTTTCCTCTTAATTCCTCCAACTGAAAAAAAGTACAAACCTAGTGACTAAGCTAGCCATTCCTGTTTGTTTACTTCTTCTAGAAAGCTGTAAAACACAGTATGGTATCGTTCATTTGTACATTCAATAAATAACTCCTGAGGGCCTGCTCTGTGCCAGGGAGCGTTCTAGGCTTTGAAAAACGGAATTTACGACTCATTTTCCCTTCTCCACTGACAGGAGATCTCTTATTTTCTGTAATTTGGCCAAGAACACATAAGGCTAGTCCTAAAAAGAGTGTGTGTAGGTTGGGATACGGAAGCAAGGGAGGGAGGGAAGGAAGAAAAGTCTGACAGTAAGTTGTTTGGTAGCTAGCATCATAAAACCCTATAGATCCCATAAGAATCACCACAGGTCAGAAAGTGGCAGAAGACCATATATATGGATTAATATCTGTGATTTAAACAAGCATTTGACCATTGCATGTAGGGGCTGGTGGAGGGTATAGACAGACGGTCATGGGTACCACACTACCAGTGCAAAAAAAATAATCAAAACCTTATTTTATAGTCTCTTGATTGAATTTTGAAAGCATGCATGATCCTCAGGATCAGGAGAGCTCTGTCCTAAGAACTCACTGCAGATTGGCTTGTAAGAGACTACATGCATAAAGAAATTCGGAAACGTTAAGCAGATTGTAATGAGAACCCATAGAGGCTGCTACCCTTCTAACCTGTGCAGCAGCTAGCGCACTCTTGTGGTCTTCCAAAGTCACTACAAGTTGTTCATGCTCGGAGAGTAAATTCTTATGCTGTTGCTACACAAAAAAGAATTTTACATGTTGAGATTTAACATTCTAAGACAGATTCTTCTTCGGCTGACAGTGGTATGAGCACCCAAACGCAATTTGCTTGCCTGCTTGTTCGCTGTTCTTGAAGCACTTGCTAAGTGTAAAAATCATTGTAGAGAGAATATGATAAAGTAGTATTCTGAAATCTAAAACGAGCTTTCTAAATATCATAATCCCTTACAATGAAATCAAAACTAAAGGAACAAATACTTCATTATTAATAAACCTTTGTAAATAAAAAGCTTATTAAAATCCAACCATCTAGCCAAAGAATCACTTTGGTACTAATGAAAATGTTTGGATTTTCAGACCATCTTTTAGCTTCTAACGCAGATGCGGTAAAAGTAGCGGGCACACTCCAGGTTTATGCAAAGCCCAAAATAACAATGTGGGTTTGTAATGGAGGTCAATTAGGGAATGACTCGTAAAACTATTCTACAAAGTAAAGCACGGCAATACTAAGCAGTCAAATGCCAGGTTTTGTTTTACCTTGACGTCTTGGAGCTGTGTATGCATGTCCTGGTGTGCCTTCCGGAGTTGTCTATTCTCTTCTCTCAAATTGTACACGGTTTCTATTTGTGGGGGGAAAAAATCATGCATAAAGCCTTGAGATTTTTCTGGCTTCTGATTCCATTATTTTCATATCTAAACCTTCACACAACTATTTTTAGGATTTGTTTTGAACTTTGACAGTATTATATACCAAATCAAGAAAAATGCTATTATTTTGGGATGTGACATGGATTCAGCTTGCCATTCTAATGCAATCTGGTTCGGCAGTTTAAATACTTTTAAGGAAGCTACACACAGTGCAGAAGTAAGGATTTCTAGTTACTCAGGAGTTAAAAATGAAGTATTTCTGTAAGTAAGTCTTCAGGAATAAAATGTAACAGGCGGGGATGGAGTAAGATTGGAGTCTCTCCACAAATTAAAAAGAAAGTTAACAAAAAGTACAAATCCTATTTCTCATAGCAGGAATAATTTCCAGAGACCCCAAAAGTATTTTGATTACAAAGATAACTCAAGAAACCCTCATTTACCTGCTTAAAAATTCTCAGTATATTTTCTTTCTCCTACCACCGAGTTCTTCCCTGATACAAATTCCCCTCCCAACAGCAATAGGACAGTTCTTTCCAGGGCAGCAATGTGAGGTTGTAGCTGTCTGAGAAAAGTCCTATAATCTCTTTAATCTCAAGAGAAGCTGTTCAGGGAACAGCCTCAGTGACTTAGATTCCAGGCCCACCTCTCCTTCCCTCTCGGTGAATTTCTTACTTTTGCTGTATCTGGACATTAGATGTTATAAACTGACAGTCCTGGGACTGAATCCAACTCACATTTTTTCCCCCCCCGGACCCCTGCAGTGTTGGCCTATGAGGAGTTTTCCACATATGAATAGTTCGCACCATTTAAAAATCAAGGATCTGGGTTTACTAAGACCTGGCAACATGAGGCTGTTCTCACGTGACAAGACTCAGCAGAAGATGAATGGTAGCAGGTGACAACATAATTCATTTTTCAGTGGGAGACACCTTTGAAAGTGAAAGGGGAGGCTGTTAATAATGATGCTGAGACAGCAGGTCTGAGTCTGCACTGTGCTGGGCAGCCTGTCCCTGAGTGGCAGTCACTTCCTGCAGACAAAACACCAGCTCTCCAGTGTGGCACTCAGCACTGAAGCGAAGTGCCCGCTGCCGTCTCTCACCACATTTTCTGTCCATTTTTATGCCTTTATTGTCCCTGCCTCACCCCTGAGCTCTGGATGGCTAACTGGGTGTAGGGGAGAGGTCGAGAATAAGGTGGGAAAGGTTCTAACTCAAAGGTCAAAATAGGACACCACTGGCAATCCAAGGGGACCGTCAGTGTACTGTTGGCTGGATGGGGCTTCTCACACACACACACACGCACACACACACCACACACGCATGTACACATGGGCATACACATACACACAGACACATGTACGTACACACAAATACCCAAACTGCTAGCTTCTAAAAGAGTTTCAGATCATAAACCTAATGGCAGTTGCTTCTGTGCCTTAACTGTATTGCCTTGAGTAAGTTATTTAACTTTATAAAGCCTCAGTTTTCCCTTTGTTAAATTAGGCTGAACACAATGCCTAGCTTACAGGTTGTTATGAGAATTAAAATAAAATAATTACATGAAGAGTTTCACCTGATACTAGCACATGGTAAACATTTGTTGAGTGTCAGCTATTATTATAACAGAAATGAAAAGAATAATTATCTAAGCTTCTATGCGACCAGTTTATCTCCCAGGAATTCTAAATTCTCTCCTGGTATCACATTAAACTTGACCAGAGACTACCTGGATTATATGTCTGAGTTGCCACCACTGACCTGCATCCATCACCACACGTTTAACTTACCGTCTGAAGCTTTTATCAAAGATCAGAATCAAACAAAAGTGCCAACGGAGAAAATGCTCATAAAATTGTCATCAAAAGCATTGTTACACCCTATTGTTTAAGCCCTCTGAGAAATTTCTTCCAAAAATCAACTGATACCAGAAATACTCTTCTCTCTCGCCTCTTCTCTTTCTTCCCCTTTGTCTGTTTCTCCCTCCCGTGCCCCACACACAGGGTAGGTATTTTCCCTTTCTGATGATAAGAGCCCCCTAACTTACTGCCTTTCCCTTTCTGTCCTGGCTGCCGGAAAGTTCAGACCAGGTTATGAGGCTTAAATTATTTTAGTATGCAGAACTCACATATTTGTGTCCTCCTATTTTCCATGGTTCTGATTTATAACTTCTACATATAATTTATTAAAATTTTACTCTAAATGCACTTTGCTTCAAAGAAAGGACTATAGAGTAGACATAAGAAAACATGCTTTATACTTCCTTTGTGAAGACGTTTCTCTGTTATCTTAATGACCCCCACTGTCTGCCAGATCACCAACAGCCAACCAACGTCTCTGCATGTCTACAGATCTTGCATAGACATGGCCCAACTCACTCAAGACCACCTTAACCTTTTGTAATCTGCCTCAATGGCTACTCAACTCTTGTGTATCTTTTTGTTATAACTTATTATTTGAAAATACTTATAGACAAAACTGCACATAAAAGTACAGAGAAGATCAAAGTACTTGTCACTCAGCTTCCTTCCATGATGATATCTTATATAAAATCAAAATATTGTTTGGCGCAGTAGAATTAACTGGACCACAGACCTTCCTTGGATTTCACCGTTGTTCTCACAAGCACCATGTGACTTTTTAAACCAACTCTCACACTTCAAACCTATTTAGCACCTGAATAGGTGACTGCAGAGTATTTTTCTTTTTCAGAATTTGCATACACTCAGAGTGATACAATTTGTTTCCTAATACTATGAAAACACCTCGAGGCACCTGGGTGGCTTGGTGGGTTAAAGCCTCTGCCTTCGGCTCAGGTCATGATCCCAGGGTCCTGGGATAGAGCCCGCATTGGGCTCTCTGCTCAGCAGGAAGCCTGCTTCCCCCTCTCTCTCTGCCTGACTCTCTGCCTACTTGTGATCTCTGTCAAATAAGTAAATAAAAATCTTTATTAAAAAAAATACTATGAAAATACCTCAAGCTTACACTGATCGTGTGTCAGTAACTGTCCTAGCTGCTTTACATCAATTATTTAATCCTCGCACCAATCCTATGAAGTTGATAACTTTTTTTTGGGGGGGGGGTATTTATTTATTTATTTTTAAAATAATTTTTTATTTTTTATTAACATATAATGTATTATTAGCTCCAGAGGGACAGGTCTGTGAATTGCCAGGTTTACATACGTCACAGCACTCACCATAGAGCTGATAACTTTTTATGAGTATCCCAGTTTTACAGATGATGACCTGTGGTGATCATACCATTTGTCCATGTCATATAACTAGTAACTGAAGAGGCCAGGGGTCACCAGGCTCTGACTCTGGATCCTGAGCTTTTCAGAGCTACTACTAGTGATCAACAGGTAGTTTCTTTGGCCCCTTGGAGATCAGATCATCACACTGAATGCGCAGCACTGAGGGCATTTTGTGAGTTGGGGTCAGAGATACTAAGTATCTTACAACGCATGTAAAATGAGAACTGTCTTGCCCGGTGTGGCCAATGTGCCCCATTGAGAAACACCAAGTATTCTATTCTGTTTCCTAAACAAACCCCAAGGGATAAGGATAATTGTGAAATGTTACAAAGAAGTAAGTGGAGGGTAAAGCACCACCTGGGAAATGTGAATCCATCGCCATGCAAACAAACCCAATTCTACTGCTTTACTGAAACATTAAGGTGAGTAGTTATTTCCATATAAACTAGCTAATCAGACTTCCAAGTACCTTTTAGCTTAGAAAGTTCTTGTTCTTTCTCTTGCTGTAGCTGCAGGTACTTCTGCTTATGGTCATTAAACGTCCTACTGAAGTCTTCTCCTTGTTTGCGATGTTCCTCCTCCAAGTCGCTGTGCTGTTTCTTCAGCTCCTCGTGTTGACTCTGCAAAGATGAGAACCTGAGCAGAGATGTACATTCTCTAAATTATACCACAGGATCTACAGCCTTTCTCTCTCAAAAAAGAGCAGATGAAGCAGGAGGCTCTGTTTTCCTTGGGTTGCTTTTAATTGGGGCAGCTCCCCTCCATTTCCCTTACATTTCAAATCAAGGGTTTGGGATTATGGCCAAAACCAATTTTCCCCTTCATTTTGATTGTCGGTAAAAACAAGGAGAAGTTAGAACTTAGCCATGGGAGATGGAAAGGGGAAGGATTGGGGAGACTCCCAGCAGCTCAAATTGCTGTGGAGACAAAGTAAAGCTAACAGAAAAATTACCCCTCCACAGCTATTCCAGACTTCCTCTTTCAATCTGATGTTTTCCCAGCAACACTTTTTATTTCCTTTAATTTTCAGGCTTCCTGGTAATCTAGTTTAAAAAAAAGAAAAAGATTTCTTTCCCTTTGGGGGAAGTAATACACATTGTTTATGGAATGATTCTTATTTACCTTACTCCTAGTCATAATATGACACTGAAATCACAATCTAGGTATATCCCACAGTCCCAAAAAGCTAATGTTAAAGGATGGTCTGTTTTAATCCATGCACTGCTTTCTTGATACCATGAAAGCTTCTGGCTTCAATAAAAAGCATTCGCTCTCCTGATACAGGAGGAAAGACAACACCAGACAAAAAGCGAGGTGGGCAAGGGAGGGAGGCTGGAGGCATGGAGATCATGGCAGGGTTTGCCTGCTGTGCAACACGCTTGATGGCATCCACTTCTCTCTTCTATCTTGACAGAAATCATGAATCTCTCCCTTCCACTCTCTCTCTCTTTCTAAGTCTTCCTGACACACAATAATGAGTTTTACCCAAGAACCAAGGAAGGAGAATCTTTAAATATAAATCGTGTTCCTTTGGTAGGTAAAAGGACATTCAATATTAGTAACATGGAGGCGTTTAATTGTTCTACTGCCTCCAGTGTGCCTAAAATAAAAGAAACATCTAATGAAAACCACTGCGAGAAACTGAGCAAGCAAACACAAACAAAAAAGCCTTAAAGGATAAAGAGAAGAATAAAATTAAAAATTCTGTGACCAGAGAGACTGATTTACAAGAAAATGTAAAACAAGCTAACTAAGATTGTTGAAATTGGGTGGTAAGATGAGGGAACATTACAATTCTACGTCATTTTTAGTGAAATATAACTTTAATGTACCATCTTACCACATAAATCAATTTTCTGTAAGCTTTCCTTAATCACTTGAGTTACTTAACTCTTTCATTAATTCATTTATAAAGAACAACTTTAAATTACTCACTTTCAACATCTGATGTTGCACATTCAACGCACTGTATCTACTATTGGAATCTTGCTGTAAATGGAAAAGAAAATAGTTAACATAAAGATAACGAATCTAGCTCTCTTGCTAAACATATCTTAAAGCACTTAACAGAAGAATTCCATTTATTTCACTTATATAAGCTATGATGAATTCTATGCTTGAACCACGATGTCTCTGGGGCAGAAATGAAGCCTTAACATTCCTGTAAGCTTGCTAGAGTTTAATAAAGAAAAAGCAAGACATGGGATCATACAACAGCAGTGTAGCAGGGGCCCTGGAAATGATTTACTTCCCCTCTGGAGCAGAGCTAAGGCTCTTTGCACAAGGAACTTGTCCTGAGACAGTCATTGTGCATGGCTGATACACTGTGCCCAGTGCTCCGAGGGGACGTGGGGGTAAACTGACTAGGACCAGGCCCCACAAGCTTTGCAAGGCTTAAGAAAGGGGAGAGAAAAGGTGCTTTCCCTTCCCTGTGCTTCAGTGGATAAGGAATTCTCCATACATTACTTTACCCAAATGAGACTCCCATTTCACAGAGTGAAGAGATGGAGAAAGGATAAAGAATAAGCCAAGGGCAAACATTTCCTTTAGTAGCAGAGCCAGGACTGAAATGAGCCTAAGCTGCTCCGGTGGTATAGGTGTGAGTCCCAGCTGAACATCTTGACATGTGGACCCCACAGACCCCACACACATCCATAGCCCTGGGCAAGCCATAAGCAGTCTGTGCACAAGACACCCAACCATCTTCTCCCCTCGCTGGGTCATCTACCTGATGTGCCATAACCCCCGCTTTGGCTCCAACGCAAGCACACCCACAACCAGTTGTTTCTTCCATTTTTTACAATTTCTAAAATGAACTGCATTTTTGCTCCATTGCTTTATTTTATTGCTTTACTCTTTTACTTTACAAAGAAGCTACATTATGAAATGCAAACAGAAAGGATACAGTTTTATCTGGGGCTTTTGGAGGAGGGAAGAGTTGAAAGCTGACAGCCTCCCAGCTCTCAGAGGAACCGACTCTTCTCAGTTTTAATACCCCCAAAATGTCAGTGTTTCATTCAACTAATGGTTATATATTTTCTTAGAGTAAGAGAAAAATTTGCTTTTCTCCAGTTAATTTGGACTGTGAGAGTAACACTGCAGGATTTTTGGGGGCAGCAATAAATACATAGGTGTGCGTGTGTGTGTGTGTGTGTGTGTGTGTGTGTATTTCAGCCCTAGAGTCCCAATGATCAACATAGTTTTTTTACAACAAGAAGATTTTACAACTATTACTTCCCTCTCCTTTTCATAAAATAATTGAGGAAAAAATCCCAAACTCACCCTTCCTTTATTTAGTGTTTCTTGGGCTTCTAACTTATAAACAAGAAAATCTGAAAATAAAAAGTGGAGAAAATTGAGTATAATTAACTTATTCATATCTTGAATAAAAAAATGCATTTTAATGAAATAATTAAAAATGAATTTAGAATGTGCACTCTGTGATTAACTCTCCTTGAAATTGAAAAAAAAAAAAAAAAGGCACATCTAAAGACAGAGATGATTTATTGCTATCCACTAGATGGCATGCTAAAATCACTCAGGACTTGAAAAGAGACCTTAAACCATGGAAACCATCTTTAATGCTCTTAAAGCTTTATTATCCACTAGATGGCTCTATAAAATCACTCTGCATTTAAAGACAAGGAAAATCCAAATCCTATCAAAGTATTTTAATGATGTTAAACTCCTATTCTTCATACAGGTTTAATCCAAGGGTCAGTAAAACATCTTAACCCACACTGCCCTCCCCTTTTCCCTCCCTCTACCCCACACCAACATAATTAAACAGAATACCTAATTAATATTTCCTCACATGATTTCACAAAACATGAGCAAATAAATAAAAGTAAGAATGTGGATCATTTCAAATCACATGCTACATAAAGCCTATGCTAGATACTAATTTCTCACATGGAACCAATCAGCTATGCCAATAAAAACCTTCACAAGATGAAAACAAGTGTGTAACTTAAAAGATACCATACCAAAAAAAAAAAAAAGAGACACCATACAATGTGATCAATTTATTATGTTGTAAATGCACATATCTGTATGTATGTATCTATGTGTGTGTGTATGTATGAACATATAAAATCTGTCATATTCCAGAGAATACATGCTGTTACTTCCTGGTTCTTTATGGACAGAACTTTCAGGCATGAGTAACATATGTGTGTAATATTCAGATGAAAAGCTGTTTATTTCTGATACAATATGTGTAACCAGTAACATGAACTACCTCAAGGCGGCACACTGAATGAAAGATTCGGAATCCAGTCTTGAGCAGAAATTACTGTGTTGTACGATGCATAACATAGTGCTTGACTTTCTCTGTCTACCTATAAAACTGACTTAGAGTTCATTTGAGAAATTTGTTAACAACAACAACAAAACAGTAAAGCTAGAATACAATGTTTCAAAGGGAAGTATGATAAAAAACAAAGAACACAAACTGCATTTATATTTACCTTCCTTCGCTTTCTTATGTTCAAGTCTCTCCTTTTGCAAGGATTTCTCTAATCTTGATCTGTGTTCATATACAACTGAAAGAAAAAAGTTAAAATTTGTCTGCAAATCATTAGAAATTCCAAAGTAAAACTAGTATCAATTTTCAACACTGGGGGAAACAACACTTTAGAGTCTTCACAAATAAAATAAAAATGCGTGCATTTGTAAGTTCCATATTCTGGGTAAAAACAGCCACAAACGACAAGTCTGAGTTAACTTCTGCACAGTCCTCTCCTTCATAGAAGCAATACGCTGAAAGAATGCTCCCGCCTTCCACCTTCTTTGCCGGCTCCTTCTCAAAACCTTCTCTGTGAGGTTCCATGTCCTTTGTTGGGCAAATGTGTCCACTCTCTTGACTTCTACCACCGTTTGCACCGCAGTCAGCCCCACATCCATATTTCTAACTCCCACCTCTCTGTTAGGTATTAGAACAGCATTTCCTAAAGACTCCGGGGTTTTTCCACCTACATATCCCATGAGTACTGCCAAGTCCACATGATCTGAGCCGGAACTAAGGCTGCTGGACCCGTGAGAAAGCCTCAGCAATCCTACTGGCATGAAAGAATGAAGAATGAATGAATGAAGAAAGAAAGAATGAAGTGGGGAGGGACTCAAAGAGAACCTAAGAAGGTCAGGTTCACATCGCCCATGGCAAGACGCCAATGGCAAACTGATGCCATGTCAGACTTTCCGGTCCTCAGTTATCCCCACCGGCCCCATCTACACTGAGGAAGCCAGTATCGCTTGGTGAGCAGAGAGGAAGTGTGGATGTCATGGGGGAAAACAGGGAGGAGGAGGAGCTTATCTCTCTTCCTCACCTCAGGCTGCACATCTACAGCAAATAGGAGCTGGAAGAGTAGGAAAAGCTCTGCCTTTGAAAGAATAAAATAATAAAATAGGCATTTTATTTATATAATAAAATGTACGCATATGGACTAGACCAGATGTAATACTTACTAGACCAAGACTGTGTTTATGGATAAAAGTTATTAATATATATTTTTTCCTAATCTGAGAGAAGTCGAGAAGTATCCAAGACTGTAAATATTTCCTTCCGGGACAGAAAACCCAGCCTCACAGAGTGGTTTGTAAAAGGTGAAGAAGGGGGGAAAAAACCTGAATTTCTGAGGTGTGCTTTGAGTCCTGTTTGTGCAGCATTATGGTCACATATGATCTCATTCCTGGCCAAACTAAGCCAAAGCTCTCATTTGGTTCTCCTACCAGTCTTCAGCTGCCTTTAGCTACCTAAGACAAAATTCAAACATCACTCACTCACCAGGTACAACACACCCAACTGCTTAACACTACTGGCCTTCCCAAAGTGCCATGGTCATAGCCATTCCCCTCCCTCACACCTGCTATAACTCCTTGCTGCTCGAAGGGATGCCCTGTCCCTCTGGCCCTTTCTCTAGTCACAGCTGCCAGTTACCAGCTACTGTTGTCCTCCTTCCAACATGCCCAGCATCTCCTGCGTCCTCCACCTTTTCCCCATGCTTCATGTCTCATCTTGTCAAGCCATAGAAACCTTCTGTTTCCAGGGTTCCCTCTACAGCTACCACAGCCCCGACCTCTACTCACACTTCGCTAACATCTCTGTGCACACCCCTCAGAATGCCTGCCACCACTCAAACTGTCATGGTGTCATCCGCCAGCAGCGTGTCTGCCTGTCTCGGCTTCCCCACCAGCCTTAGCCTCCCACTAGTGAACCCAACAATCCCTGCCCCAGTCCCTTTTCCACCTGGGTTCTATTTTCTTTACCAGACGACCTCTTCCCCTGCCAGTGCTGTTACTATAAAGGATCCAATGCAACTCTGCATTTATTGAGCCCCTACTATGTATTTGGAACCACATTATGAGCAGAAATGGAAAAAGAGACACGGGCCTTGGCCACAAGCAGTTCAAGTTTAACACAATAGATAGGTAAGGTAATTTTTTGTATAATTAGAGCTGAATACATTTAGAATAATATAAGTATATTTAAGCCCAAGAAAAGACAAGGATGAGCTCCGGGTGGGAGAACAGTGAGGTAATCATCAGAGGTAATCATCTCTTGGCTGGCTTTGAGAATGAAGAGCAAATTTTTTAATACTTTTTTTTTTATAAACATATAATGTATTATTAGCCCCAGGGGTACAGGTCTGTGAATTGCCAGGTTTACACACTTCACAGCACTCACCATAGCACATACCCTCCCCAATGTCCATAACCCCACCACCCTCTCCCTTCCTGCTCCCTCCGGCAACCCTCAGTTTGTTTTGTGAGATATTACGGTTTCTCTCCCTCCCGATACCATCTTGTTTCATTTATTCTTTTCCTACCCCTCAAAACCCCCCACGCTGCCTCTCAACCTCTCAACTTCCTCATATCAGGGAGATCATATGATAATTGTCTTTCTCTGATTTATTTCACTAAGCATAATACCCTCTAGTTCCATCCACATTGTCGCAAATGGCAAGATTTCCTTTCTTTTGATGGCTGCATAGTATTCCATTATATGTATATACCACCTCTTCTTTATCCATTCATCTGTTGATGGACATCTAGGTTCTTTCCATAGTTTGGCTACTGTGGATATTGCTGCTATAAACATTCGGGTGCATGTGCCCCTTCGGATCACTACATTTGTATCTTTAGTGTAAATACCCAGTGGTGCGATTGCTGGGTCATAGGGTAGCTCTATTTTCAACTTTCTGAGGAACCTCCATGCTGTTTTCCAGAGTGGCTGCACCAGCTTGCATTCCCACCAACAGTGTAGGAGGAATGGTTCCCCTTTCTCCACATCCTCGCCAGCATCTGTCATTTTCTGACTTGTTAATTTTAGCCAGAGAATGAAGAGCAATTTGATAGAAAAGGGTGCCACGGGAGAAAGGCATTTCTGGAAGACATCACAGGGCAAAGGCACAGAGGTCTGAAATTGGGCTGAAGGTAGCCGAACCCCAAAAAGCTTGGTTGTAAGTCCACTGATGAGAAATTACATTTTTTTTCTAAATAAATCTATATGGTATATAAGTCCCTCTGCCAATTTCTAAAAGCCTATTAAAACCAAGGAGTTCCTTGAATTGGTACTAACAGTATCATCTGGAATGATGCTTGGAACAAGGTAGAGGAAAAAAAAGATTAGCACTATAAGGATCTCACTAAGCCAAGCTCTAAACTGCATGCTCACAGTTTTTGAGAATTTCAGTCGGGTGGGAAAAATGTACAGGGAAACAGGTATATTACAATGCCATCCTGATATTCCAGAGGCAACAACAGGATGCCACAGGGACACCTGAGCCCTCCCGCTGGGAGGAAATACACTCCCTGTCCTCTAATCCACTGGCCAAAGTTCCCAGGTCTGGGGGGAGGGTCATGGAAACATAAATAGGCCAGTTAAAATGGAATTTTGGTGCACGAAAGTGGATATACCACAGATGATTTCAGCAAGCACGTACATCAATATTCAAAGAAAGGAACAGGAAGAACAGTCAAGATCTTTTTTCCAATGGAACTGAAGTGGCAGTGGGGGTGGGGTGGGTCCCGAAGGAGGTCAGGACCACTAGAGAGAAATGATTCCAGCCTAGAAACATCCATGATTTTAAAAGACAGCAGCACAGTCAAGAAGACAAACAGGAAAGGGCTGCTCACCAACCATCGCCAGCCACCTCAGACTCCAAGCATTAAACCTTATTACGGAATGGTAATGACAGATGGGAAATAACAGAGGGGGAACGCTGCGTTGGCACATTACAATCTGGTGAAATTCTTTACTTAATATACAGCCGCAATCACTGCAAACTTGCTGTTGCAAAGTCAGTCGTGTATGGGACTTGGTAATCAGGTAATGATTGTCTTTGCACTGGGAAGCAGAAAACTCATTAGTATTATTTCATCTTCAGTAAAAGTGGAGGGTCCACTTGATTACACCAAGTAGAGAGGGACTACAGGGGATGGGATGAGAGGGTGGGAGACAGTGCTCCATTCTCTAATCTCTTCCCTGCAATGCAGTCAGGTAAATAATGTGCCAACAGCCAGTCCAAAGTACCCATTTATCACACTGAATCACACAACTGTCTCTGACAGTTTTATGCTCCTTGGGAATTTACACACTCAACATATTAATAGCAGTGTTGTCTCAAGAGCCAGAAAATCCTAGGATACACAGTTATAAACTTTCATAAGTAACCTAAACAGATGCTACATGGTATCTACAAAGAGACGTACATGTTCGTGGATTACAGTCAAAATTCAAAGTTCTTGAGAAATCTGAGATATTCACGGATGAATACGAAGGCATCACTAATAGCAAGATCTAAGGCATGAAGAATGTGGTTTTGCAAAGGCAGTGAAAAAAGATGTGGTAAACGGGAATAGAGGTTATACATACACACCATGAGGTAACTGTACTATGAATGTTCTCTTCCTCAGAACTGGTCAAGCCATTATTATAGCACCAGTTCCTGGTCCTGACGTAAAATAACTGAAGAATGCAGGAATGGAGTTTCAGGGTGGAAGAACATGAGCAAGGGGGAGGTGAGAAAAGGGAGTGGCAGTGACTGACAGAGGTGGGAAGTGGGAGAAGTGCCGTTCCTTCCTCAAGTACAGAAAAAGGAAAACGAAGCCAAAAGGAGCCTTAAAAGATAAGCTGAGGACACCACATCAGAGAAGGTGAGAGTGAAAATTCACCCTTGGAATTGCAAATTCAAGAAAGAAAGGGAGAGGGAAAGAGGCAGGCAGTAACAATGCTTGAGAGCACAGACTCTGGGGTCTGGATTCAAATTCCAGATCTATTCCCTATGGGGTACGCTGCTGAACTTCTCTGTACCTCTGTCTCCTGACATGGTATGTGGGAATAATGACACTATCTATCTCTCTGGGTGGATGTCAGGGTTAAATGAGTTAATATGTGCCAAGTGTTGGCACAGAGTAAATGCTCGAAAGTCCGAAAATATTGTTTTCTCCTGTCTGTGGTAGCTTAAAATTGCCAGAGAAGGAATCAGAGGATTCCGGGAGCCCTTTCAATTCTACAATTAAAGCCTAATAATAATGAAGTAAT